CGTGGGCTGTCGAACTCCGGTGTTGCCTCCCACTGAAGCTCGGGACATCAAAACTGTTAGGCTTTGTTTTGTTTACTTTTTCCCAGCCCGCGGAAGAAGTTTGTGGTTTCTTTTTTTCTCGGAGCTCACAGCGATGCGCTTGGACTTCTTGTCGCTTAGAGCTGGGCCGGTCACTGTGAGGGTTTGAGTAGTGAGGCATCCCTTGGTCGGAGTTGCCATTTTCGAGTCTCGCAGTCAGGAAGTAGGTAATTTTATTTATCCTCCAGCCCCCACTGCTCGTCCCCCCCTTTTGCTACTGGAAGTTAATGCTGAATCTTTTTGCCGGCCCCAGAAAATCATTTTTAAACTTTAGAATACAGACAGTGGGTGGATTCTGAGGCCTCCAGTGGACCTGTTGAGTGGAGGGACCCGGAGGTTTGTTTCCGGAGAAGCTCTGCGAATGTTACTTTTGCTTCTGCTACAGAAATGAGCTTTGTATTTACGCCCTGGAGTTTTCGCTGTTACAGGAGGAGGGAGAAGCACTGTTTGCTGCCAGTATTCTTTTAAAAACATTTAATGTTGCTATTTACCACCAAATTTCGAGCTTAGCTTTATTTTCATGTCTTTGGCTCTTTGTAGCTAAAGAACTGTATTTCTGGGCACCCTAGCCGGAGATCGCAGTACTTTGCATTTCCGCTGAACGGCTGGGTTGGATCCAGGTCCTTGGGGTGGTGGCGTGTAGCTGCTTTACTCCTGTCTCATCAGTTTTCAGTGGCCCCTTTCAGTGAATGCTCCTCAGATCAGCGGCAACAGCTACCGAGATAATGTGTTTCTTCTCTCGTGGGGCTCCTGTCATGGTTTGAGATTTAAGTTAAATTGCCATACTTCAAGGCAAGATGTTACTGAAAGAAATGTATGTGAAATTCGTTGACATTCACCATAGAAGTTTATTAAATTGATATTTATTTCTTTACGAAATTAAAAATGGTTCCGTTGACGTAAGACGAGGAGCAGTATTTTTAGTCACCTGTTCTTTCGTCATATTTTCTAGCATATATGCTTTAGGTTTTTTAAACATTTCTCTTGGAGAATGGAATTCCTTTTACATGAACTGATGGATGCCTCAATTTCAAATGGAAGAAATACCTGAATTCTGTGCTCAGTGCATTTATTTAATGACCTAGTCTCTTTAAATAATTTTTTTATATTTTTCAATTATTTTTAGATGGTTTTATTTACCGTGACTTCAGAGGAAGGGTGGAGGAACCTTCTTGACGTGTCCTACAAGAAATGCTAGGCGAAGAGATGAAAAGGAAAATTAATTTATAATTTTCTTAGACTTACTACTTTAGTGATTGGGATGATTTTAAGACCAGTGTTTCAAAAATTTCGTGAAAGAGAAACATGCTTTTACTTTATGATGTGTGTGATAAAATCATTCGTTGCTGAACATTATGCTTGTGATCAAGCAGACCTGAAGAGGGAAAACAGGCTATTGAGGAAGTACGTCTCCAGAGGAAATTGGAGGTACTGTGCTTCGGGGTTTGTGTTTTTTTCTTTTTTCTTCCCATATTGTTGTTCATTATATGAGAGAATGATCCTGATATGTTTTCTTAGAAAAAAATACTTAAATTCTTGAATATAAATTGTTTGCAGTATGAATAGGGTACTGATTTTTTTATACTTGAAATGGTGATCTTTGTGAATCCATAATGGAAGTAAGTATTTTAGGGTTCATCAGTTGTGAAACAATCAAAACTGTACCCAGAAGAAATTGGGTATGGCCCCTTCCTAAATACTTTTTGGTAATACTTCTCATTGCTTATCCCTTAGAATTATTTACCAACCATCTATAAAGAGGCCTCTCCTACTCTCACTTAAAGGGAGGAAAATTACAGGGTAGTTACAGTTTTACAAAGGCAATGAGAGGAAAAAAAAATGAGGAAGAAATAGTTGTCCTTTGGGTTTTATAAGGAATGTGGGGTTGGGACCTTTGGGAATGAACAATTTGTCATTTGTTTCAGAGTTTGTAAACACATAAGGGACGATATTTCTCAAGGAAAAGAAGCCACCGTATAGTGCAAGACCTCTATACCCAATCTCATTTCTGTAGAGAAAAAAACTGAGTGGATTTGCTTAATGTAGTTAGTATTAAGTATTTTACGATTCCCAAACTATACGCAGTATTCACTATCACATCTGTCCATTCATTTCTCTTAACAAACTTCTTTCGTAGCATTTCTTGAATATACTTGTTTCGTCTTTTAAGAAATAGACTCATGTTAATTGTTTCTCTTCAAAGTGTTGATTTCTGCATTAAACACTTGTTTCAGCGCAATGATTTTAAGCTTTAAGTAATTATACTGCCAAAAAAATTTTTTTTTTAATATTTGTACTTAAGAGCTACTAAGATCTGATCCAAAGTACAGTTGGCAGGGATAAAAGTGCATGGTGATCCTAAAAAGTTTAAATTTCATGGGAGTAAGAACTGAAGTATCTAGCTGAGCTTGGTGGCACATTGTTGCAGTCCTATGCTCTGGGAGGCTGAGGCAGGTGGATCCCAAGTTCAAGTGCAGCTGAGTAATTTAGGGAGACCCTGTTTCAAAATAAAAATTAGGAAAAGGGGCTGAGGATATAGCCCAATGTGAAGGCTCTGTGTTCAGTCCCTAGTACCCCCCCCAAAAAAGCGAGAGTTGAAGTATTTGATAATTTAACAAAGTATTGGTGGAAGAAATAAATGAAGATAATTCTGTTATGTGAAATAATCAGTTTCCCAAATAATTTAGAAATAATCACTACCATTGAATCTTCAGGAAGTCTTTATGGGAAGCAAAGAGCCATATAGAAATTTCTTGATGTTCCAATCAAATTCTTATGCAAGTGGGTTCAAAATTAATTACAGTGATGAAACTGTTCATTGCTTATGAGCTTATTCTGTGGACTAGAACTGGCTGTTTTAATTATACTTACAAATAGGAAAATTTCAAAGTAGCACCCTAAAATAGCATTTTACAAATTGAGATTATCTTTTCCTGTTCTAGATTTTTAAAAAAAAATCAGAAACTTAAGTATAGGCCATCCACTTAGTTAAGTACCCCTCAGTGTTACATGTTTTGAGTAATTCATAATGAAAGTAAAGAACTTAAATCTTGAAGGAAATTGAGCTAAACTTGAAGAAATCTACATGTTTTCATCATAGACAAAATGAAACTAAGAAAATCGCTTTATCAGTTTCTCCCAGGTCACGCAACTAGTCTGGTATAGTGAAGAGTGGAAGCCAGACTTTGAGTTCCTCTACCTTATTTTCCATAATGCCATTCTATTCTCCAAATTATTACTACTGTAGTAAATTTTCTGCTTTTAATTCCAGCACATATTTATCCTTTTTATACCTTAGGTTCCCGACAGCAAGGTGAGGACAGTTTTCTCCGGAGGAAAGGGATGGATGATGGTCAGCCCTTGGCAGTTGGCGCCCCTGGGTTTGCACCCTGGATAAGCCAACCCTATCTCCAGTACCTGCAGGGCTGTGAGAAGCTGATTTAGCGTTCATGTGGCACTCAGAATGGTGATGGAATTGGTTTAAGGGGAAGAGTGTTCAGTTAACTGCATTAAAAATAAGCTCTTGATTGCCTGAAATAAAAATGTATACATTAATTTTTATTACATTAATTTTTAAAATAAAAATAGTGGAACACTAGGCTTTTTCCTAGAGTTAGTCATTTTCTGTTGTGTGAAAGATTTCCCATCATGTTCTAGAAAAGTGTAAAAGAAACATTTGAACACATATGAGGTATTTTTTGTTACAATTGTTAGCAGTTTTATGAAATAAAATCATGTAAACACTGGTGAGAGTGGGAAGCTATAAAAAATAATCTTTTTAAGAAGCCTACTTTGTGTGTCTTTGACTTGGCCTACTTTGTGTGTCTTTCTATCTGGTATTAGTGTCCATGTTAAATGAAAAAATGCACCAAAAAGAAAATTATAATCTCAAAATTATAATTTAAAAAATTGTATCAAGTGCTAGGTTTTAAAATTTTTAAAATAAGGAAAGAAAGTAGCTTATAGTTTCACAAGGAATCCTCTCTGACTTTCTTTAAAAAAGAAAAATGAGTAATGCATGAAATTGACTAGAAAATTCTAGCAATATAGAAAAATACAAAGTGAAGAACCTCCTTTCTCTGACCCATTCCCTGAAGTAACTATTAAGAGATTCTTATGTATCGTTTTGAAGAAAAAAAAAACTATGAACATTCTAACTCAGTGTTCTGTATTTTCTTGTAGCACTTTTTCTTTTTCACATATTTTTCTCTAACAAACATTTTTATTTTGATGGTGTCATACTGTTCTATTATTGGGAGGAGTTGTATCATTTCTAGCTAGTTACATGTTGGATTTTCAGTTCCCCTGGCTCTTTGCTGGGAACAACAGTGTGATAATGAATGGTGCACAGGACCATATTAGTGTACTTTCTAGGTGATCAGTAGGGTTCGGGTGATGCTGGCAAAGTGATCTCTCCAGAATGGTTGAAACAACTCATTTTTACCAATCATGTGAGTACATTTTAAATAGATTTTAATCCCCAATGTAGAATTTTTGTTGTCTACTCCCAGACTGAACATTTTCTGAAAATAGCTTCTGTATAAATGTTTGCCTTGGGTTTTGTTTTTCTAGTTGACTGTGTAACTAATGGTGGATATTGCAGGTTTCCTGGAGAGTATTGTTAGGTGGAGGTAACAGTATGGCATGACAGACATCGGTTTGCGTTGTTGCATTAAATGTGCTCTGAACTGATAAGACTGTTTCAGAAGGAAAGAGAAAGTAAGGAGGAAGAAAGAAGTGAGGAGAGGGGGAAATTACCTGATTGCTTCTCTAGAAGGCACACAGGGAATACTGAGGGGTCACGTCCCAGCCTTCAGGCTGCCCTCGCCAGCAGCACAGAGCTTAGTCTGTGGATTCTGAGTCCTCGGCGTGAGTCCACAAGATGTGGCAGCGGAGTAGGCGTTGGCATCACCGCAGTCATGATTGTGGTCCTGTGACTGGGCGCTGGGAGCCGCGGGTGGCGTTATGTAAATGTAAGCGCCTTCTGTTTCTTTCTCACTTCTAAATAAACCTTACCCTCATCTCTACTGAAGCCTCTTACATCGTGATACAAAACTCACATTTTATCTTGAAAGATAACATTTTGCCAGGTGAACCAAGTCAAGTTCACAGTGTGAACTGTTCAAATGCCAGTTTTCAGAAGCTCATCTTTGATTTAATTGGATATAACTCACAAGGAACTAATCTCCCTCATAAATTGATACCCTAGAGTTTTATTATTGTGGAAATAAAGCACTAAAATGTGTCCAGAGACTGAGTGTGTCACAGGCAGATCACCCATGTCTCCTCTCCTTGGCCTTGGGGACATCCCAGTACATCGGGCTCGGTATGATCGTTCATGTACTCTTCAAACACTGCAAGTTTGGCTCTGCAGGCAGTGTTTACAAAGGCCACCAGATCGCTAAACATTTGGTATCTTAACGAAAGTATTTGGAATTAGAGTGTTCAAAAACAACTAAATGCCCAAGAACTAGAGAATGCTGGTTCTTGTTTATGCCATCTAAACTTGCTCCAAAACCTTGCTGACAAGGCATTCGGCACTGTTAGAGCACTCTGAACAGATCTTGAGCTACCTGGGACCGGATGAAAATGATGGCTGGGACTGCCGTGGTCCCGCAAAGAGGCTGGGCTTTGGGGACGTGAAATAGAACCGCACAAAATAGGGATGGATTCATGGTGTAAAATAGTCACTTGCTGTGTAATTTGGGAGCTAGTTAATCCATCTTGAGTCAGAAATGTGTACCACGACCCTATCGCCTTCCGCGCCAGCTTCCCATTAGAGGGCCAAGTTGAAAAGCACTGGGTCGGTTGTGTTCTGGCAAAGTGACTTAGATGATGGCAGTGGTGTGATACTGGATGTGAGTGATGCTGACAGAAAGAGCCACACTCACAGGCCTTTTAAGGAAAAGAAGTGGGACTTTTGAAAACGTGCCTCAGAAGAGCCTGACCGAAGTTGGCATGTGGGATCTAGGACACTGTACTCGAAACAATGGCAAAATGTGCATGGTTTTCCATGTGAAATTTAAAACACCTTACAGGTATTTGTCTTGGACCCCCAGCTTTGAAGACTTGGCCATTTTCCTTGTTTCTGATCTCCTTGCCCATCCACCTCCTTACTTACCAGAAGGGAAGAATGCTGCCCAGTTCCTCTCCCACTTAGGCCAGTGCTTTGGGCCTCCCTCATCCCCGTCGTCTTATGGGCATGAGACGTAGCTCTGAATTAGTTTTCGCTATCTAAGCATCCTTTGAGCTACTGACCATCCGGTAGGAGTTCATGTTCATAGGTAACTTGTTTGTAACTGTGAATTAGTTGAATTAAACTACAGCCATGTACTGTCAAGTGGTAACACTACTAAAAGTTGCTACTAGTTTTACCTTAAACTTTGCCATTTGTGTGTGAGTAAGTTTATGAGGTAGGAAGGTGCAGGGGAGAAGATGCTGGTGCCATGGTCTTCACATCTGACCCAGTTCAGTTCAGCATGAGTGGTTGCCGATGCCATGATAACATGAAAACAGTTTCTTTGTTAGTAAAGTTGGCCTGTTTACAGTGTTTAGTACTTGTATGATATTTCAGTTTTTCCTTTTGCTTTCTTACAATGTAGTTTTTCTTTAAAATTACATCTCTAAATTGTTTCTCCCTTTTCGCAACTCATTTTTAAAACCATTAGACCCCATTGATAGCAGACTTAGTGCACAAGTTTTTGTGTGTCAATGGGAGGAAAGCTATTTCAGGAAATTCCAAGATCTAAAAGCATACCTTAATCCATATAAGGTATGCAATCCATGTTTGCTTTCAAAAATAAATGAATTCCATATTATTGTTTTTATTTATAGATTGAGGAGTATTTGGTTTGTCTCTGTGTTTAAATTCACTGGGAGGGAAACATTTGTATGTGAAGGGTTAATTCCTCTTAGAGGATTCAGACATTAAAGCTTACAGTAGTTCTGGTATCACTTTAGTCATTGAGTAGTTTCTCTTACGTGTGTGAAGTTGTGGTATGTAAAAATGCTAATTTGTCGTCTTTTCTCCCCCTCAGCCATCTGTTGAATCCTCAAGTCCAGGTAAGTATTTTTCCTATAATTTCAATAGTCCCTATTTGACTAATATATATCCTATTAGTTGCATAAAGGCTAGAGGAGTTAGACTGCCGTCTGACTTGCTTTTCTTCTGAATGCTTCTTTTCTCTGGGGAGAAAGAAATGGATGAAATGTTTGACTGCCGGTGAAAGTTCAGGTGAGGCTGCTGTGAGCTCACCCTCATGCCTCTTCATATTGTCACCCCCCGCCATATGTGTATATTACAGTTTTACGTTGCTATTTGAGTTGAAGTGTATATGAAGTATCTTTGAAAAGGGAATCAGCTTGGAAATGCTTGTGTAGGAAATGAACATGTTTCATTTGAGGAAAAAAATTTTAGTATATTTACTGCAGAGGAAAAAATTATGTGAAATATTCAACAGGTAAATCTTTAGTGTTGTAAATTAGTTTTAGATTTGAGTAATGCCAAGTTTTATCCTCTGACCATACATCTAAAGGTTTTTAATATTTTCCTTCAAATACAGCAGATTCTTTTACTCCTGTGTTAGAAGTTGCAAATTTGTGATCCTTGGACCAATCTAGGCCACGTTTTTTGTTTGGCCACTATAGTCATCTTTCAAAATTAAAATATTTCATATAAAATCAAGATTGAGGGTTCCTGCTCGCCCACAGGCCCCATCCCCACAAGGTAGAGCATTCCCATGTGGCAGTGATTGGCTGGCTGAGAACAGTGAGGGAAAAGTCGGGTCCTAGTGGTTTGGCCTCAGTGTCCTGGAAACTGTCTCGTGGAGATTATTCAGAGATGATGTATTATTCCACATTGCTGTATTTACATATTACTGAAGCAGTCATATTTCTTTGTTTTAAATCATAGGAAGAAAGCTTTTTATAATGCGCAGCACGGTGTAAGCCTTTTCGTGACCCAGAGTTCTTTGCACTGTATTCTGCGAGGCTTGGGCTAAATTACTTCCAGAACTTAAATAACCCAAGTGCTCAGTTTACAGTATATTTCTCTTTATTTCAGCCTTACTTTTTCTTAAAATATATTGTTTTGTGACATTTGTGAAACCCAGGGATTTTAAATATGTTCCGGATGGTTCACATTGGATACTGACCTCAGCTAAGAGTGTTTGTGTCTCTATATCCAGTATTTTGTTTCTTTCAAACACATTGACATAATAGGCTCTTGTGTGTGTTAATACTATGATATTGCAAGTGGAGTGAGTTTTAGGTTTTCTCAGGAATTTCAAGGTATTGGTCAGCAGCGAGAGAAATTATGTCAGATCTGGTATTAAAGAATGGCTCCCACAGTTTGTGTACACCTAGGCAGGACTGGGGGAGGAGTGAAGCTCAAAGAACACAAATGTTTTTAGTTGCTTTTGCTACTTGTTGATACTTTGGTGTTGGAGTTTGTGTAGTTTGTTTCTTTTAGGTGTTTTTTGGACTATGGGAAATCGTCTGTATTACACAGTACTTATAATGTAATACTCTTAATGATAGTTTTAGGGAGTTAAAAGAGTTGATGGGGGGAAAGCAGGAATAGAGGCCTCATATAAAATTTTTTTTGGCCCACTGGTTAAAAGCTGTGCCTTTTGCAACATCTGGGCCTGGAGATCAGTATTAGTAATTATACTTACATGACCACACTCAGTAGTTTGTAAACTAAAGAGGAGGTACATTGTAAGATCTTACCATAGTCATTAGAGCTGGGAATTAGGCTCTCTTTGGTTTGGGGGTGTTTTTGGTTTTGGTTTTGGTTTTCTAAGGCAGGGGCTCCCTTTGTATTTCAGCCTGGCCCTGGACTCACTATGTGACCCAGGCTGGCCTTGAAATTCGCAGCAATCCTCCTGCCTCAACCTCCCAAGGGCTGGAATTACAGGTGTGCACCACCGGGCCTGGCTAGAGGTGGGGATGAAGGCAAGGGAAGAAAAAGATTTAGAGTTAAATAAGTCCCCACGACACATTGTAAATTGATTCTGCCTCTGAGTCTTTGTAAAGACATCAGTTGCCCTGGCATGGTACACACACACCCACGAACCCAGCACTGGGAGACTGAGGCAGAAGGGTTATGAGTTCATTGCCAGCTGGAGCTACCTTGTGAGAGCCTGTCTCAAAAGAGTGTAAGATCCCTTCTAGCAATTCTGCAGTGAGGTGGGGTCTTAGGATGGATCAGTGGTCCTTGCCTTAACTCTGAAGAAAGATACTTACACAACACTAGATTTACATTCGCTAATAATGTATTGCTAGGAACCCCCCCTCCAAAAAAAAAAAAACAACCTGAGGATGGGTCCAGAAAGAATTAGAATGGTTAGTTGGTCCTTAAGAGCAAGGTGAGAAGTCAGAACAAGGTCAGATTAAGGCAGAAAAGTAGTTGATACTGAAAGTTTATAGAAAAGTTCTGCTGTTTTTGATGTGGGAAGTGAAATGGCTTGTTTTAATGGCTTTGCAAATGATGACCAAAAAATGGGGCATCAGGCAAGTTGTGTACCTTTCATGACCTGATGCCACGGATCGTTGGGCTTGGACTGTTCTAAGCTATTGAGAATATAATAACTAGTTAGGAAAGAAGCATAATCATTTTTAACAGTAACTTGACTAAGGTAATAGTATGCAAAAAGAATGGTATGGGGTTTTTAAAGAAGCTTCCTGACTACAAGGAAGAGAAAAGGCATAGTATCATCTGTAGTTACTGACTACTGAGTGCTTCAGAAGATTCCTGGGAGGGCCGAGAAGTTCAGGAAAGTTTTCCTTGAAAACTCAGAAGAGAAAACATTTGGGACAAAAAACTATAGCTAAGTTAGTGGTTTTCCTGGGGGACCCTTAGGTCTGGCCCATCCATCGGTACTAGAATGTCCTAGTAAAGTCGTATAGCCTTTTCTTAATGTCCAGGAGAAATAGTAACTTCTTTGTAAATCATTAAAAACTTGAATAATTGTCAGCAACTCATTTTTACTATAATCTGGTATAAGATGAGATCTGATTTGGCAGATAATTATATATTTAGTTACGTTTAGTGGCATTTTCTGCATGCTTCTCAGCGAGCACAGTGTCTTCTGTACGCCTCGCATCTGACCCTGGTTACAGCACACTCATCTTGGTGAACATGGGTTCTCACATAGAAGTACCCTCTGGATACTTCAGGACTTACAGGGGGAGTTGGAATGAGGCAAAGGATTCACTTTTCATCTGTGCTACTGCTGGATCTGAGTTTAGACCTGCTATTTAAACTCTTGAAGCCTTGAGTCTTTGTTTTCCTTTTTTAGTGGGATGATAAGACTGACTTGGTAGGGTTGTTGGAAGATTGAGATAATGTCTGTGGAATGCTTAAGCATACTATCTGGCAAGTGGTAGGCTAAATAAACATGGTGCCAATGATGGGTATGGTACAGTGCCATTGTCTGTAATACAGTACTTAGACTGAGGCAGGAGGATCTTCAAGAGTTTAAGGCCAGTGTAGAATACATAGTAATACCCAATCTCAAAAAGCAAACAGTGGGCCGGGGTTTTAGTTCAGTGGCACTGTGCCTGCAAACACAAGGTCCTGAGTGTGATCCCCGGTACCAAAACAGACAAAACGGTGGCTTGTTTACAAAGTTGTGGGAGATGGCTGAGGAACCTTGAGCCTTCAGTGTTAACCTTATCGCTAGTAGGGGTCAGTCTCTGTGTCTCTTTGTTTTACTCATTGGTTCTCACACCAGAATGAAATGAAATATAACTCAGTATAATTGTTAACAGTTTAAAGTGATAAAAAGATGGCTGATTTTTTAAATGTTAACCCATTTATGCTGAAGATTTGACATTTTTTGACTTTTGCATGAAATCATGTGTTGCCTAGAAAAATTCAAGGAACAGGAATTTGAAGAGAACACATTCCACTAAGTTCCACTGTTAAGGGCCTTCGAATAATGAATCACTAGGCATTAAAGGGTTAATCCATTTGTCCTAGATTTTTTAATGTCTTTTGATAAGTTTTGTATGCAATTTTAATACATCTTGCTTTTATCTCTGAGTTATTTCAATGCAAAAAGTCAGTTGGAATTTGTTTCCAGAAAGTGCTGATCAAAGAATACTTGATTCATCCCTATTATAACCGTGTATCTTAATGCATTGTTGGGTGATTTTTATCATTGAATGAGCGTGTCTGAGCGTGCTTAACACAAACCTGGGTGGGGTCTCAGTGCCTCATACTCACTGGCTCTGTCAAACATTAAATGTAAGAGTTGTGACTTTTCCCTCCTCAAACAAAAAGGTCATTCTTATTTGATATGACTATTCCTTATAAGTTACACTTCATGAAGATTGCAGCACAGCTTTTAAAGTTACAAATACTATACTTCTACCCCCAGTTTTGCAGTGTCACTGAGTATGTAAGGGTGAGGTGCGAGGCAAGGCAAACAGCGTGAGGAGTTTTATTGTGGGCTGGTGATGAGGAAGGGCAAGATTTTAAAAGCAAAAATGGGCCGGGGTTTAGCTCAGTGGCACTGCTGCCTGCCTCGCAAGCACAAGGTCCTGATTTCTATCCCCAGTACCAAAAAAGAATTTACGTTAAAAAGCAAAAGTAATCTTTAGTGTGCATAGCTTTTTCCTTGTACTTTGACTTACATCCAACTTCAAATAAATAATGCATATACACTAAATTGATATTAACAAGACACTTAATTTGGTTCACCATACTTTTTAAAATTTTCTTTACCAGGAGGTTCAGCAGCATCAGATGACCATGAATTTGATCCATCAGCTGACATGCTGGTTCATGATTTTGATGATGAACGAACATTAGAAGAGGAAGAAATGATGGAAGGAGAAACAAACTTCAGTTCTGAAATAGAGGATCTTGCAAGGGTAAATAATACTAAGAGCTAGGGGATAAATGGTTAAAACTTGTGGCGAGAGGAAGCATTTTCTCTATCTGTATTGGCGGGGGCTGTGCAGTTCATATGGGAAAAGTCCACGTGATCACAGATAGAATAAAGTTTGAAATTAAGGCATTTAGAAGTAGCTGTATTATGTGAAATGTTAGAATCAGAAGTGACTTTGGTAAGACATCATTAGGCCTGGATCAGAAAGGGCTCCCGATTTCCTTTTCTACACCTGCCCTTGCACAGTTAGGGTACCTTTTGTTTTCCCCTTCAGAGCCCAGGAGCCCTAACCCTCGTCCCAATTTGCCCTCACTGTACTGCCTCAGGTGTGGTGGAGTGCATCTGCCCTTCCTGTCAAAGTAGCCTTTGCCTTTCACTTTTACATCTGTCGCTGCATTCTCTTTTCTCTCTGCACCTTTTTTCTCCATATTCAGCACAAGTTACTTTTCCTTCTTTTGCTTGAATTCTGGAATACACACTTTTCTGTTTCTCTTGTTACTTACTATTCAGTGTATTTGCAGGCTTTTCTCCCTTTACCTAAGGTTTAAATGTTTGCATTTTCTGAGGTTCTTGGCCTTCTCTACTTTCCTGTTTCTTTGGATCATTGCTCCTCAGAACTTAGGTTGAGGGTCAGCTGCATCAGAATCGTCCATGGTTTATTAAAAAGAGCAGATTCCTGTGTCTCTTCCTAGGCATACTAAGTCAGAACCTCTGGGGGTTGGATCCAGATCTGCATCTGCATTAGGCAGGTTTGAATTGCATGCCATCCAATCTGAAAATTACTAAGCTCTGACCTCTATTTTTGTGGTGTCCTTAGTCTCCTTAGTTTATATTTCTAGCATTGTTATTACCTGTTTCTGGTATCCAGGTTGATGTTTTTGCTCAGATATTTGAACACACATCTGAATTTTAAACACCCAGTGTTCTCCTTCTACACGTACTTTCCCTTTCATCTCTGTCTCTGTAAAAAACTGGCGCTTGTGTTTATCCTGTTACCAAAGTCAGAAACCAGGGAGTCATTGTCCTTCACTCCAAGTATGTCTTCTCCACATAAGCCTGTCATTTCTGTTATCTGACTCTGTCACTCCATTCTGCTTGGGTTGTCACCCTTTGTGTCTTGGACAGTTTACAGCTGCTTCTTAGCCTACTTCCCCATTTTCCTTCCAGTATGTTTCCAGCCAGCAGCTGTGACAGTCTTTCCATTTATTCCATTAATTTCTACCTCCTGGCTTCCCGTTACTCCTGAAGACAATCCAGACTCCTTACTCTGGCTCTCAGGCCCCTGCATGGTGTGGCTGTCGGTCTCTGCCGGTTTCTTCCTCCTTCACAGCTTTGGGCTCATTCACCCTCCCTGACCTGGGCTTTCCAGGGCTGGTTCCCCACCCTCTGGGTTTGGGGTTACCCTCGGTGCACTCTCCATCCCCTTGCTAGCTTCTCCAAAGAAAAACTGTGTATGCGCTGCTTTTTCTTTTTCCTCCAAAAACTAATAGAATGATTGTTTGTTTAATTTGCTATCTGTAGCCTCTATTAAATTTTTAAGGGGAGGGCCCAAGACTATTATTCACCAATAAATTTCAGGCAAATGAAAGTATTGAGTGAGTACACAAATCAGTCTGGTATGCTCTAATAAAAATTTGTTATGTGTGTACTTGCTGTACATCTGTGATAAGATGCAGTGCCAGCTTTTAAGGATTTAGAAAATATATTGTGGAAAATCATTAATCTGTGTTTCAAAATTTTAATTTGGACCTTTTCTAAAGTATCACAGTGCTTGAAAAGGAGTCCTGTATGTTTTAGTCGGATCCTGTCTGGTAGTCCCGTTTCAGATCCTCTAGTGATCAGAGCTGGTTCAATCACAGTGCCTAAGCAACTTAGTATTTTATTATTTTGAACCAGAGAACACGGCTGATCTGGGTGGCAGATATTGGTTATCACAGTGCGCATATGATGATCTTGGGGTCAGAATTATTCTTTAAAAGTGAGAGGCTGGAAAGCTACTCAGAAGACAAGGATAGTTTGCTTAGATGATTCAGATCCTAGTTGAACATCAAGGGGAGCAACTAGTTTAACAATGATATATTCATATATTTTTGAAGTGGAAAGGCATTTATTTTCGATTATTTTGCCTGTACTCACAGAAATTTCTGTCACCTTAGATATATTTTCTTGCTTCTGAATAGAACACTAGAGTAAAAGGTAAAAGTGGAGAATCATATATTTTCCATCTGTATTAGCTTCTAAGAATCAAGTACTTTTTTAACGATATCCAAAGTAGCATGATGTTTTTCTTCTACTTCAGGAAACAAGCTGTTACATTTAATTAGTATGAGATTGCTAATAGGCTTTACTAAAAATTTGGGCTGCTTTTGCTTTTCTTTCTCTGCTTTCATCCACCCCTTTCCCCAACCCTTGTTAGCCCTGTAAAATTGGCTTTCACCTGATCCTCCTTCAGAAACAGTAATTAAAATAGAATTCTTCGTAGAGGCCCAAAGAGGAAGAAAAAGGTGGTGGGTCCAAGGCTTGGTCATCATTTTGGCCAGATAGCCCCCCGCCTTTTCAGAGTATCCTGACTTCCTCCAGAAGGGAGTAGGGTTCAGGTCTAAGCACATCACCGGCCATGCTCTATCTCTAAGCTAAGCTAAGCTGCTTGAGGTCCACTTACATTGGTGTTCCTGGAGTTACAGTCTCCTCAGGCATGAATCAAACCACATTGGTTTTGTTTTTAAAAATAAGATTTTTGTCACAGTGACTTTCATTTGTTTTTATAGAAGCAAAACATTAGTTATATTAAGAAGTGGCCAAGTTTTTCAGGTGCCACTTTGATTGTATAAAATAGTTTTTTATGTAATTTTGTGATAAAACTGATACAAGAGTTAACAGTAACTCAGTAGTATGTGTTTTTAAGTTCAGTTTGGATTCTCAACTTTTGAGTGAAAAATTTATAGAATCAGCTTTTTTTGTGTACTACTACAGTTGTATGTATGCATTTGTCTTGTTGATGGAAAATGCATTTTAATTGCGTGTTTAGCTTTTTTTTTTTTTTTTTTTTTTTTTTTGT